CCTCCCCAGACTCCCGGACTGGTCCCCGTTCTTCCCCACTGTCCGATTCTGCTGCTGTCTGCACAGGCTGCCGGCGAACCACAACACACGTGGTCAAAATTTGGATGCTTGGTAACTGGCATGTATTTACGATGGTTGCAGTGTCCTGGGGTCATGTGATCTCCTTCTGGGACTTCTGAGAAGGAAAGTCAGTGGGGAAGCCAGATGACAATCATGTTACTAAGTTAACAAGGGCAGTGGTTCACTTAACAACCCCGTGGCAAGGAAGGTTATTGACGCAAACTCACTTAAGTGTCTCGCTCATCAACAGAAATTTGGGGTTTAATTGGGGTTGTAAGTTGAGTATCTTTTGTCCCCACCCATGCCTAATACTTGCTTTCCTCTTTTATAAATTATAGCCAGCATCATTGCTTTCCCAAACTTGCTTTTGGAGAAACAAAACAAAAATATTTTTGTAGAAGCAAAGATATTTAAAGCTGCTGTTTTAAGTCTTGCCCCTATCATTACTCCTGCATTCAAATATACTATTTCTTTGCTTGGTTTAAAGTTAATCAATTCCCATCAAACATAAGCTCTAAGGGATCAATGCTAAATTTCCTGACAAACAGACCAAGAGCTTTTCTTGGCATTATAGTCTGAATTTTAATAGGCGGATCGCAAGCCAAAAGTCTCATTTTGTGTAACCTTTAAGCATCCTAAGAGAACGAGAGGGAAGGAATGAGCCAATTAGCTGTTTGAAATAAGAAATATTACATTTGCTCACTGTTTACGTTAGAAATGTTTGCTTCTTTGTTCTTCTCCACCTAGGATCAATGCCATATCAAACAGACACGCACACATAGACATAACCCCTTTGCATAATGTGGTTAGAACTTCAACTTTTAAAAAATGGCTTTATTAACTACATTAACGTTTTTTAAAAAAATAAACATTACACAAAATTATTTTTAAAAGGAAACAAAAAGCTATAAAGAAAGAAAAACAGAGAGAGAATATATTAATGGATGCACATACATCTGAGAAAATTCTACATGAATATTTCAATACGTGGTGGCTGTCTTGCATTATAAATATCCATTGCTGTTCTGTGCCAATAAGCCATTTGTGTTGCTTATAACATCAGTCTGCAAACCAGGACCGCTGCAATTAATATTTTGAAGAGAGACAATAATGTTGAGGCTCGTCACGCAGATTTTTAAGTACATTTCAGTGAGCATACTGAGTTCCTTCCTGGAACAAAATAAGCCAAAATAATAACCACGGACGGCTTCAGAGACTTCATCTGGGAGAAAACCTATGCAGAAACCCTAAAAAGAAAAATTGGTAAACATTTGCAGCCTTCAGAATAACAGAAGAGTTGGAAAGGACCTTGGAGATCTTCTAGTCCAACCCCTTGTTCAAGCAGAAATGGGACCCTATCCCATTTCAGACAAATGGCTGTTGAATCTCTTCATCCAGTGATGAAGGTAGACCCACAATTTCTGAAGGCAAGCTGTTCCACTGGTTTACTGTAAGAAGTTTCTCCTTAGTTCTAGGTTGCTTCTCTCTTTGTTTAGTTTCCATCCATTGTTTCTTGTCTTGCTTTCTGGTGCTTTGGAGAATAGATTGAAACCCCCCACTCTTCTTTGGGGCAGCCCCTCAAATATTGGAAGACTGCTATCATGTTCACCCCTAGTCCTTTTTCCCCCTAGATTAGACATACCCAGTTCCTGCAACTGTTCTTCATATGTTTTAGCTTTCAGCTCCCCAGTCATCTTTGAGGGTCTTCAAACATCATGAACTGAGCTCCATGAAGTCAGGTGTCCACTCCTACCATTGACCTGCTCTCTATTTTGCCACTGAGTTAATAATCAAAGTTGATTAGATCTAGTCTTCACTGATATCAACTACTCTGGCTACATCTTGAACGTCTAATGGGGCTCACATTGCAATAAGTGGACCTAAATGGATCCCAATAATAGACTTAAACCCCGAAGCACTTATTTCTTTCTTTCTTTCTTTCTCCCTGTGCTCCGAAACCTAAAACCACATCACTAGGGCAGGGGTCTCCAATCTTGGCAACTTAAAACTTGTGGACTTCAACTCCCAGAATTTCTCAGCCAGTGGAGCTGGCAACGCTGGCTGAGGAATTCTGGGAGTTGAAGTCCATAAGTTGCCTGCACTAGCAGATGTCAATATATCGGTGCTCTTCTCCTTAAATCTGTTTTTCTTTTCAAATTCCTATGGCGTTCTCTTGGTTTCCAAAGGTTGGCAGGTTGTTATAGTTGGTACTGAATTAAAACAATGTGTGATACCTCTTGAATCTCACATAGACTCCTTCCAGCTGTCTTTTTTTCTTCACAATATTTATATATAGCATTTATATTTGGTATTATAGAGATCCAATTTAGAGAAAAGGAGAAATTTTCTGCCAGTGTGAATAATTAACCAGTGGAGCAGCTTGCCTGCCAGAGTTGTGGATGCTCCATTGCTGTAGGTTTTCAAGAGAAAACTAGACAATCATTTGACCAGGATAATATAAGGTCTTTTGCCTTAAGCAAGGGGTTGGACTAGAAGAGCTCTGAGGTTTCTTCCAGCCCTGTAATTCTAGGTTCTACTTAAGTAATATCTGAGGATATCTTGGGCAGGCTTTCAACAAAATCTCCAGGTCCTTGTTGAAAAAAAGGGGACACAAATGAAACCAAGACCTTTATTCAGTTCTCTGCCAGCTTTTCATTATCCTAACAATTCTCCAAGGTAGCTTAGAATGAGCAAGACCTAAATAATTAAGTCTGATTTTCCAAATTCACGGCAGTATTAACTAGACAGACAGGTAGATACTATTATCCTTCGGGTATTTTCAGGATGTTTTGGACATCAATGCAGGTAGTCCTTGGCTTGCAACAGTTTGTTTAGTGACTGAAGTTACAATGGCACTTTAAAAAATGACTACTGACGGTTTTTCACATCCCCATGGTCACGTGATCAAAATTCGGACAACTTGGCAACTGGCATGTATTTATGTCAGGTGCAGTGTCCTGGGATCATGTGGTCACCTTTGGTAACCCGATAAGCGAAGTCAATGGGGAAGCCAGATTCACGTAATAGCCATGCTAACTTTAACAAATTAAAAGATTAACAGAGTTGAAAGGGACCTTGTGAGTCATCTAGTCCAACCCCCCCCAGCCCAAGCAGGAGACCCTACGCCATTTCTGACAGGTGGCAGTCCAGTCTCTTCTTGAAAGTCTCCAGTGATGAAGCTCCCACAACTTCTGAAGGAAATTTCTGTTCCACTGGCGGATTATTCCCACTGTCAGAAAATTGCTCCTTATTTCTAGTTGGAATCTCTCCTTGTTCAGTTTCCATCCATTATTCCTTGTCTGGCCTTCAGGTGCTTTGGAAAATAGCTTGACCCCCTCTTCTTTGTGGCAGCCCCTCAAATATTGGAAGATGCTATCATGTCTCCCCTGGTCCTTCTCTTCACTAGACTAGCCAAGCCCAGTTCCTGCAACTGCTCGTCGTATCTTTTAACCTCCAGTCCCCTCATCATCCTGGTTGCTCTTCTCTGCACATCTTTTTTATAGTGTGGTGACCAAAACTGGATGCAGTACTCTAGGTGTGGTCTTACTAAGGCTTTATAGAGTAGTATTAGTACCTCCCTTGAACTTACCAATTGCTGTGGCTCATTTAACAACTATGGTAAGAAAGATCGTAAAAAGGGGAAAATTCACTTAACAACTGTCTTGCTTTGGTTGTAAGTCGAGGACTACCTGCACTAGGCAATTCCTATGCAAGGTGGCCACTAACGGCAGCCCCAAACATCTGAAGGCCATAAGGAGAGAGGAAGGGGGTGAATGTTTAATCCAACTTCCCCTTTATAAATTCTGCAGGATTTTCCTCTCTGCATTTGTTCCTTGCGGGATGAAAGCACGCCATTGTTCTTCCTGCTGAACAAAGACCCCTCCCCTCCCTTATAAACACATCTTTCTCCCTTTTTTTTCCAGAGGCCTCCATGTAATCATTAATTTTTATTGACAAAAATCTGTACT